TATATATATATATATATTGCCTCGTGATCTCATTCGATTCAGTCTAAGGATATTCGTCGCAAACAATATCTCCTTTGTCTAGATCAGGGGTTTCCAATTGGCGGCCAGGGGGCCACATCCGGCCCGCGGAACCTTTTTTTGTGGCCCGTGAGCCTAGTTGTCATTGATATTAGTTGTCATTTTTTGCTTACAATTTTTGTAAAAACTCTATATGGGTTTAAAATACTTTTCTCGTTAATAAAAACCTAATTTCCTCGTTTCTGTGAAATTTAACAAACCAACGGTGGAAAAAAATTTATTTCTCAGGTTTTGCATCCAAGAAAATATTTATTCAAATACAAAAGTAATTGCGCATATTGCTCTTTTTTATTTCATTTTTTTGTATTTTGTGAATATAATTTAGCATGTGTGTATTAAAAATTTTCAGGAAGAAATTCTTCGATTTAACTTTTTGAAACCACTGATTAAGGACGAAAATATTTACACACACATTTGTAAATTTTAAATGTAAATATCTATTCTCTGGTGGTTGCAGCAGACAAACCTCAATTTTCTCATCGAACATTTTGTGTGCTAGTATATAAGTTTTATATCTTAACAATTAGGTATCTGTTCCTCATAAATTGTTTAATACATAGGTGCACATTAAAGCTATTGTTATAGGTGCATATTGCATTTAAAGTTAAAGTTATTGTTATAGGTGCACATTGTTATTAAAGTTATTGTTACTCATTAAGGACGAAAATATTTACACACACATTTGTAAATTTTGAATGTAAATATCTATTCTCTTGTGGTTGCAGCAGACAAACCTCAATTTTCTCATTGAACATTTTGTGTGCTAGTATATAAGTTTTAATGCTAACCTTTTTAAAGTTTTATATCTTAACAATTAGATATCTGTTCCACATAAATTGTTTAATACATAAGTGCACATTAAAGTTATTGTAGCCCGAATTTTTATTATTTATTTAATATCTTTAAAAATATTATTAATAACAATTAAATATTTTTAAAAATCTACTTCTTATTTTAATTTGTAATTCAATATTTTTGTTTTGTACGACTTGGTAAAAATCTGACAGTAATATTTAACGTTCCTTCAAACATAAAAGAGTCCTACATAAAATTTAGACAAAGTTGCGGCCCACCATTTGATTCGAATTTTTAATTGTGGCCCCCAGCCACATGTATGTTGGAAACCACTGGTCTAGATAGTAATACTTAAGTTATCTTCACCCCTTCCACCTAAGTTTAACGTGCAAGTTTGATAATTTTTTTTCCAATATCTAAGAGGAGGGTACATAACTATGAGTCATCAAGTAGTTGTTTTTTACCTCCACATTAAATTACCCTATTTTTGAATAATACGTGATTTATTTTTAAATTGCAGTAAGAAAATATTTTAAATATTTTTCGAACTTTCTAATGCTAATGAAATTCTTCAATGTCTCAGAGAATTTAGATTTAAGACCATCATTTTATTCTAGATATCTCGAAAACAACGAAGCGTGTAAGGACATAGTGAGGGAAACATTGGAATTTTGGTGTGATTTCGATACAATCATCCAAAAGGAGGATGAAGTGCGGATGCCATTTCTTGCAACTCCTAGAATACCTCATTCGATCCTTTTTGCATTTGGGGGATGGAGTGGAGGATCTCCGACTAATTTAATTGAAACATTCGACACGAAAGCGGACAGATGGATAAATGTAAGGATATATTGGATTAAACTATGGGTATTCTAAGGTGGGTCGCCTTGAAATTTTCTGAAAACTGCAAATTAAATAATCACTTTTAATTTTAAAGAAAACATTTAAAATTTTTCTTGATAAACACGTGGTAAATTCGAGACATTTAGATTTAAGCTATCAATCCTACTACTCGAATCCTTTAGTTCATCAACTTATTATTATTCTAGACTAGTTGAATATCCGTTCTCAGTACGGGGAAAAAGAAAATGTAAATAATCAGTAAATAGGTATAAATCAACTCCTAAAATCATGCGCTCAGACAATATTGATATAAATAACTTAAATAATCCAATTATTATTTGTTGCCTTTTCCTGGTGATTCGACGTTATTTGAATAAGCAACAACCCGTTTTCAGAAGTTCAGTTCATTAAAACAAAGGAACTAAAAACTATTCGATTAATCGCGACTAACTGATGGCAGTCAAAATTTACCCCAATCAAATGAACGTGTAGTTTTAGATAACTTTAGGAATAACAATTCGGGGGTGTAGTCCGCCTGTACTATTTATTTAAGTCGAACGTTGAGTGTACCAAACATAACGAATGAATAAAAAAGTATTTATTAAAAAATACGACACAAACTATACCTTGATTAAACAAAACTGTATGCTAGCAAATATTATTTATGTTATCTTTTATACATTGAAAAAAAATTTACATAGAATTGTTTAATTTCCAACAATGTCTAATGCTTAACTTAATGTCCCTCTCGAACTGACTGATTGAAATTTTTGAATAATTTTTAGACGAAAATCGTCTTTTGCATCCGTTATCTGAATTACAAAACTGTTCAAACTGTTCAAACAAAACCATGCTCAAACTGTTCTTTATCAGGGCTCGAGCAAAGTGCTTTAAATTTTTAGCCAGTAAATTAGCTAAATATCAAAAATATTAACTAAGTTTCAAAAGTATAAGCCAAATTTCAAAATTAGTAGCTAAAATATCAAAAGTATTAGTCAAATATCAAAATTATTAGCAAAATTTCAAAATTATTAGCAAATTTCTAAAGTATTAGCTAAATATCAAAAGTATTAGCCAAATTTCAAAATTATTAGGCAAATTTCAAAATTATTGGACAATTTCAAAATTATTCGCCAAATTTCAAAATTATTAGGCAAATTTCTGAAGTATAATTCAAATTTCAAAAGTGATAACCAAATATCAAAAGCATTGGCCAAATTTCAAAATTCTGATTCAAAGGCATATTTTAACAAATTTTCATGATTGATTTTTTTCCCATAGAAAACTATAAATCAAAATACAAATTTACTATAAATTGAGTTTTTTTATAAAGTGCAAATTCAAATCAAGAGTCATTCTGCAGTTGGGGAGGAGTAAATGAGCAGTGAATGGGAGAGAGGATGAAAAATGTAGATGTTGTTTCATTGTCTTCGAGAATCTTTTCGGTAGAAGAAATCATTCACCAATTCTTTCGCCAAAACAAAATCTTTTTCTCTCAATTCACGATTTTATCGCATTTGACGAGATGGCGTATGATTAGCGCAGGCCCTGTTTAGTAATAAGGGAAAGACACACAAAAGCTCTTCATTTAATTGTTATAGAATATATATTTTATTATTCATGTATCTCTTTATTTTACCAATATCATGTTTACTGGTGTTTCTTTTTTTTAAAAAAAACACGATTTCTGACTTTAACGGAATAATGAATGTTGATTTCAAGGCAACTCATTTGATCGTGAACGCAGCTTTTGAAGAATTTAATGATTTGTTTATTTCAATGTTCCAAAACAAATAATTTGAACTCCATGTAGATTTTTGGTAAGAAAAGATTAGGAATTCTTGATGTAACTTATTCTTTATTTGATAAAGTTAAGTATTTACCACAAGTTTCATAACTTAAGAAAACCGTAACACAGTAATTAGTAAGCTATGTACAATGAGTAACTAATAAATAGATACCTTCCTTAATTATTTTAAGTTAATGATTACATTGCACTTGCTAACTTAAAATTATGTTTCGAAAAATAAGCCTTAAAAATGCTAAATTAATAAGTGCTACAAATGAGTTGAACTGATCAGACACAATTTTTTTTTGCCTACAGAGTTGAAAAAATTTTACAGCAACAATTCAGAAACTTTGCAATAATTTTTATGTTAAATAATAGAAGTTATTCAGGCTAATATCGCAATCGATTACACCTGTGATAATTATCGTCATTGATATTATCAAATATTTGATAAAAGCTAGTTCACAGTGAGCGTTAACTTCAATATTTCTATGCAAGTAGGCAAGTTTTGATAGACGTAATGATAGACCGGTCTCCCAAAGCCTGGTGCGGTCCCTGTGTAAAAAGGAAAAAACAACATTTAGGGCACAGCAGGCAGATGTTTTTTGAAATGGGTTTTCAACTTGTTTTCTTTCCAGCTACTACAGGGGTTGGGGTGGAGTTTCTGTTTTCATTTATTGCGGGTTTGTTTTCCATTTTTGCACAATTTATAAACAGTGCTGTACTATTAATTAAGATATTTTTTTTGCTAGATAGGTATTTTATTTATGTCACACTAGTCCTGCACAATGGGCTATCGGTGACGGTCTGGGAAACATCCCTGAAGATGATCAGAAGACCTGCCATCGCAATTTTGATCCTCTGCAGAGTGGGTGGCTCCTCAGCTTTGGTAGCCTGACGACCAGCGCGTGAAATCGAGCACTTTACGGTCGAACAGTTTAACGAGGACCAATATCTGTCCCTACGCAGACTGATCAAAGCGGTCAACCACCCGCTTACTGACCACAACCAGTGATGCTTGACTTCTGTGTTCTACTGGGAACCGTGTCTTTACGGTCAGCTCACTATGGGACGCGTATCTTCGGGAATAAGTTTATATCATACACGTTGATTTCAACTGATAACATATTTTGAGATAGAAATAAAGAATAAAATGGCAGTTGGCGGGAGACAGCCTATGAACTATATAAGTAGAGTTGTCTAACAACAGGTTCAGATGTGACGTATCTCCTTACTGACATTTTGCTTCTCATGCGCATGCGCTGTATCTTATTACATATGATGCTCTGTTATAATTGAGTACGCTGCTCGACCTGTAAGTTGTTTTCCTGACATAGCATACCGCACAGAGCATTAGCACTGAGTATTCGAAGCGCTGAACTTTTCCTTTTCTAAATTCTTCAGTTATGTTTAGCGCTTGCACAGAGAAACTTCGCTTAAGACATGGCGTTGACCATATATATTACGAGAATACACTTTAAATTATCGTTATCTAGTCGTTTAAAAAAGATATCGATATTTCACGATATATCGATACACAGCTAGTACGTATTGCTCTGTTTCAGATAGAAGAGGTCGATCCGGTTGGTCCCCGGGCTTACCACAAGCTGGCTGTGATAGGAACTGACATCTATATAATTGGTGGCTTCAATGGGAACCAATATTTTAACAGCTGCCGTCGATTTAATGCTGTAACGAGAGAGTGGAAAGAAGTAGCACCAATGCATACAAAAAGGTAATATCAAGTCACAGTAGTTAGGATTAGTGTTTCTCAACCTCTGGTACGCGCACGGTCTATAACGTAGTCAAAAAGGAGTATAGACGTCAAAAGGATTATGCAGTTGTTAAACAGAACATTTTAGCGGATGACTTTTTACTGAGTAAAAATCGTGCATGCGTTTAATTTCATGTATATTATTGATTGCTTGCAACATGCCAGATAAGAAAAGTATCATTGCATTCTGTTACTTGCTGCCTCTGGCAATCATCTGGTTTGCCTTTCTAAATCATGGTTAACTTCAAATACATGGAAGATTAAAAGGAAAAGCCTTGAAATGTTTATAGGAAACATTTCGTATCAAATCTGCAATAGTGGTTCTTGATTCAGTTCTCTTGCAAGTTGCCGTATATTTTTCAAGTATACATGGACGGAAGTGGGTATCGTGAAAAATATTAGACCACTGTTGTTACTTAGACTACTTTTTCTATCATTTTAAGCAAAAACAAATGTTAAATAATGTTAATTTAAATAATACATGTTAGTTTAATATATGTTAATGTAAAGAATACAGTGAAATTAACTAAGAAAAAAGCAAATGAGAATGTCTATTAAAATCTGGTTAAGTTCTCTATTACGATTAACTACAAATAACACCTTACTGTTTCTGGTGATCAGATTGTCTGTGTTTTAAGCCTTGATGCTTGTAGATTTCAAACGTCCCGAGATTTTAAATCGTATAGCCAAATTATAATAATCTATTCATATTGCATGAGTGACAATGGTTCAATAATTGCCAGTTTTAAACTGACTTCTTGTATGTTGGTGATTTAAGCACTTAAATGTTAGGGGGCTTTTTTTAAAAGTAAAATCGAGCACAGTTACGCGCACCTTGGTTTGTAAAAAAAGCATAATGAAACCAAACTCGATACAGCTAAGAAAATAATTTTGACGACACGTAAAAACGTGAGTTTAGTGGATAGCTTTGCCAAGTGTGGTAATTAATTTCTCTATTTCGTTTGTTTTTTACTGTAAATTTTGTTACAGAAATACTAACTTCTATTGAATCAATCATTTCAAAAAGTATATTCTTAAAAAAATGTGACGTTTAATCTGAGTAAATCTAAATCTAACAACCATTTAGTTATTAAAATGGCATAAAATTAGTTTAATTTCTAACCAAAGAATGTGATTCAGAAATCAATTCTATCATCTTCTCGAAATTTTACCTGGAGTGACAAAACTATCTTATCCAGGCGTTGGTTAACAGAGAGATTTTGCATCTCTCTTCCTTCCGCTTAACTAGATCCAACTAACTAATTTGCGTGAGTGTGAAAAATTATTGACAGATTGAAGATTGCTTACTGATGACAATCTAATCAAGCCTATAAAAAAGACTAACAGGCGAAAAGGATGGATAAGGAGAGGTGTAAATCTCTCTAATAGAGAGTTTTTGCACATCTCTCCGTCAGATTAATTTATTTTTTCCTCTTAACTAAATCTACACTGTGCAAGTGTGAAGTAAATATTAGCTATCCTTCATTTGACAAATTGGAAATGGTGATCTATTAAAATGGAATAAAGCAGTTATATGGACGGGAAGAAGTGCAAAATCTCTTTAGTATAAGGATTTTAAATTTTCTTTTTTATCCTAGTTAGGTCCAAACTACAGAGGTTCGACTCAACAAGTAAAGCTTTTAAGTTTGAGCAATATTAATCTAGTTAAGCGGAAAAAAAGAAGCTAACCAGACTTTGGTAGGAATTGCTTTAGCAAAGTTAAGGAAATATACTGCAATACAAAACACGAAAAATTACTTATGGCATAACTGCCAACATTACGATTTTTGCTAAAGATTTTTCACAATGGTAGTAAAATTGCGAAGGAGAAGTATTAAAGTAGTTGAGAAAATATTAAATTTCTACATTGTTTGACACATGCAAGATATCATTTTCAGGGTCAAGCTCTCACACTACATTAGATACAACACTAATCTCAACATACATTCACTCAACAGTTATTCTTCCCCTTAAGTTAGAAAGCTAAATTTTGGACCATACGTTCTTTATGAAATAAATACTTAACTCAAGTCAGTAACGCGACAACCCATTGAAGGTCAAAGTTTACTGTGTCCATCCCAGATTCCTTGGGCTGTGGGGTGCAGGAGCAGTTGTTCCATTTGGGTGGTCAGGCAAACGCTGTTCCCATAGTCCCAAGCATGTTCAATACTTACTTGTCCCAAGCCTGCCTCTGATATGGACCATGTGTTACTTGACAAATATAAATAAAAACTAAAAAAGTAACATTTTGATATTTTGTAATTATCATAGTCTTGAAATTGACAGTAATGCTAAATAACACGGTTTTACATAACCGTAAGTCTGAAATTTGGGCTAAGTTTTCTTTATGAGATACATAAAAAAAACTAAATAAGTTTCATTTCTATATTTGTTATTATCAGGGTTTATAGCTCCAATTGGTGCGTAATTAACCTAATTTGCAGTAATGCTAAATAACGTTATTACCAAGAAAAAGGTCTTAAATATTAACCGTGGTTTCTTTATCAGATTTAAAGAAAAATTAAGAAGTTTACATTTTTATTTTTCTCATTCATTATCGGGGAAAATAGGAGTAATCAGTCCGAAATAGATGCCAATGCTAAATAACGCGTTTTTACCAAGAAAGAAGTCCTAAATTTAGACATGAGATTATAATATATAATTTATACATAAATTTTAATACATAAATTTTTCATGAGACAAACAGAAAAACTAGAAAAGCATTATTTCGATATTATGTAATTACCGGGGTAATAGGGGGATAATTATAATTGAGTGAGTGGGAGATAAATTATAATTGAGTGAGTTATAATTAGTGAATGGGTGAAAGCACTGCCCTTATATACATATGTATGATTTGGGGTTTAAAAAAAGTTTTGATTTAAAATGATTATAACCACCACGAAATAAAGAACCATAATATACATATAAGACCCCTGAAAATGATGTCTTGAATGTGGGAAATGTGTAGAAATTTAAAAGTTTTCTAAACTGCTTTAATACTTTTAATATAATTTATTGGAGATAAATTGAGGGTATAATTAAATTTGGGTAATTGGGGTTGTTGTGCGAAATAAAATGTTCGTATTAATTATCACCACATGTTTGGTAAAACATACCAGATTCCGGCTTATTTTGTCATTAAACGCGAAGAGGCGAATTTCTGCAAATGGGCGACGAGCCACAAAGCAGTGAGTTCGTTTGGGCGGAACAGTTTGGCACAGCAGGAGAATTTGAAAAAAACTTTCTAGCCCTCCTATTAGCATTTTTAAAATGCTACTTCCGAGAATTTCGAGCAATGCTGTCCAGGGCAGCAGAAACAATCGTGAATACGCGGTGAGGTTTGTTTCGAGCAGAAGTGAAAGACAATCTGAAACTGCGAAGCAGTGAGTTCATTAGGCGGATCAGATGGTCACCGCTGGCGGCTAGTAAAAATATAATCTTGTTACTAATAGGAAAAATCTTTCGTAAAAATCATAAAAGTAGGCAGGTGTGACTTAGAGTTATTTTCCAGATGCTTTAATATGGCTTCTTTAAACTAAATTAAACGATTTTTATTAATGAACGACTCTGGATTCTTTAATAAGTTATTGAAAACAATGCGTGTAATTCCATAAAATATTTGTCTAGGTGTTACGTGAGCGTTGCTTGTTTGAATAACATAATATATGCACTAGGAGGCTATGATGGTTATTATCGACAAAATAGTGCGGAGCGATATAGTTCTGAAACAAATCAAGTAAGATTCCAAACACGTTTTACACCCTCAATTTGTAATTTTAAAAAAATAGTTTGAGTTAAATGATTATTTGTAGCAATTTAAATAAAAGACAAGTCGTATTTTATGCAAAGTTTGCATAATGTTATTGTTTGAAAAGAATTGTACTAAATGCTTGGTTTCAAATCTAGTCGAGTCTCTTTTTTTCGAAAGGGTCGTAACATTCTGATTCTGTAACATTCTGATTTTTGGTTAAGTATCCCTTCGTTGGCGAAAATAAGTAAGTCGCAAATTCTATATGATGGCAGTTTTTTAAATTAATTTAATTCATTTAATCGTGGTGACTTAGGGGATAGAACGCTCTCCTCTCTATGAGGGGACCCGGATTCGAACGAAAGCGATGGCTGGTCAATACGAATTCTGCGCTCAGCTCGCACCGACTACACTACTGATTTAAAATATCCCCAGTGATAGACGGTTTATGTGTGAGGCCTAGACGTGGGACGTTTTCGCGATTTTCCTGCCCATGTAACGCAAACGCGAGTTAGTTCCATCAAAAAAGTCATCCACGAAGGCAACTTTTTTTTCTGTACTTGATTTAGGAGTTCCCTTGTCTTATGGATTGGGTTTGAAATTACAAGGCTACGGAATCATTGATAGTCATAAGCTTAAAATAGGGGCGGTTGTTCACCGACGGTTATAAAATAAAATAAAAATAGTTTGTTTTTATAAGCTTTGCTTACACTCTTCCCACTGTTATCAAATGAGTAGACCTCAAGAAATGGCTTTTCCCCTTTAATTGCTCGTAATATTTTAAAGACATTAAAAAAATAACTAGGAATTAATTAGAGAATCTTACAATCATTATTGCTGCAATTTCTGACCATCCTTCATGACCAAATGAGATTTAAAAACAATCGCACGCTAGCCAATTTCAAATTGGTATTATCCGCAATAACCTGGAAGGCAATTTTGCGAATTGCTAATGGCCGGGTATATCGAGATTCCCCGATAGCCAGTAAATCAAGTATTAATTCGGAACAAATTATTGCAGTGATTTTAATTGACTTAATTGAGTTGCTCCTTTGCTCAACTATCCACCGCATGCGGATATGTACGGCAACAATAGAATTCGTTCAATAATTCCTTCGAATGCTACTTAGGCTATGCATTGCAACTGTTAATCATTGCAGTTTTGAAGATTTATTGTCAAACAATTCAAAAACTTTTGTCAAATACAGAAAAGCACTTGGGAACAATTTGGTAAGGAAGCAAATGCTTTCCTTTTTACGCCTGACTTTCCCTGTTCGTCACTCAATGTGTCTTTTTCGACCATATATTTCCATAAATTATAATACAAATGTTAAGAAAGCTGTGTTACTGCTAAAAGTTGTCCATGGTTGTAGAATCACCCTGGCAGTCAAAATACCACCATATATAAAATACGAAGATACAATACTAAGAATGCCTGTCGTTTTTAAACAACCATTTAATTTGTGACATACTTTCTATAGGCATTTTATACAATCGAATGATGTAGGTTTTATAAAATAATATTTATTTAGTCATTTAATCCTAAGTTAACTTTAATTATTGCATGATAATTGTTGTACTAACCCCATTCTCTCTCAACAAGTCTAGACCAGTGGGTCAGTAAGATTGGGCATTAGTCTCAGGTGACCGACACGCATTGCTTCTAGGTGACGGCAGGTGTTTTCCCTGCCCGATAAGCCTGGGTCTGCGAACTCTCTGGAGTGCTGGGTGTGTTACCTTTCACAGGGGTCGCGAAAAGCAGTGAGCCCGCTTCGATGGTCATCTGGCTATCTGCGGTGACCAAACCACGTGCCTACTATAGTGCGATCATTCTGTCTAGACAAAGTAATAAAAGAGTAAAATAAAACCTATACTTGCAAAACGGATATAATGGGCCATTTTTATTGAGTAAAATCAAAAGTAATTGCTCTATGTTCTAAAACCGCATTAATGATATACTGGTATTAATATTTTTTTTAATTAAATTTGTTGCAAATTCAGGAAGTTATCTCAGCTGCGAGAGCGAAATAAATTTTGAGACTGTGCTATCAAATGGGTACAATGTTGAATTACATAAGGCCGAGATAGCCTGGTTGGTTTGACATCGTTCGTGAGAACGTGAGTTCAAATCCCACCGGCAGCAGAAAATCCCCGTAATTAATGGTGACTGGAGCACGCTAAATTTGTCGGGATCACCAAGTTCTCCTAACAAATCAATACTACTTTGGGTACTGAATTGGAGGTTGATCGTTCTCTGGTGCTGGACAAAATTACGATCTGCAGATGAATGAATGAAGTATTCGGCCAAAGATGGCGCCACTGAGAAGAACAAGAAATGCACCCTCGACCTTTGAAATTCGCTTGATTTCAAGTAGGATATTGGCAATTGGCATAAGTAGCAACAAGTATAGCAACAACTACATAAGAATATAGGTACTTATTAAAACTGTTTTTGCAGTTAGGTAAATAAAGCTAGTTTTTGCTTTTCTGATATTTCCAATTTTTTACCATAGTGGACGTTTATCGCACCCATGAATCTTCAGCGAAGTGATGCCAGTGCTACAACATTAAACGGCCTTATTTACATCGTTGGAGGCTTCAATGGCATCGAGTGCTTGTCGACGGCCGAGTATTATTGCCCGATGTTTAATCAATGGACACTGGTAACAGGGATGAATCAGAGAAGGTCAGGAGTGTCAATAATAGCTCACCATGGACATATATATGTATTAGGTGGATTCAACGGTGAATCACGACATCTAAATGGAGAAAAGTATAATCCCACAACGAACGAGTGGAGCCCAATTCCTGATATGTTAAAAGCAAGGAGCAATTTTGCCATAGAAGTGAGTACTTTCTAATTTAATTGGTTCAACTTTGAATTATAATATCGGTACCTTGATTAATAATAAAATGCAAATTTGTTGTAAAATATTTCCTGATGAGTAAAAAGCAAGGAGAAATTTTGTCGTCGAAGTGAGTAATTGGTTCAACTGTGAACCATAGTAATGGTATTTTGAGTCATTACAACGTGCAAATTCGTTGTAAAATGCTACGCTGAATCACGGTTTTATTCAAAGTGAACCATAGTATTGTTCAAGAAGGAGAACTTACATGCTTATATGATTAGCAACTTAATTGAACGATAAGATTTTTCATAGTGTTAAAAATGACGAAAAGTGTAGTAAAACCTGTAATCGAACCTGAATGTTCATGATCGGAATTTAGTGAATAGGTTTTTATGCTTATTGTCTGAACTATAAGGTGACCAGACGTTATCAAATCTTGTGGACAATTCTCAAATTTAAATATTTGTTCTCAAAAAAATTCAAACACTTTGAAGACAACAAATGTCATTCGATGATTCCATCATCGAATTGTTGGAAAAAATCAAAATAAGTAAATAATTAAATAAAAGTTTAAGAAAAATCAGAAATGCTCATGTTTTATTAAACAGGATTATACTGCCTTACGGAAAAGGAGAGAAAAGCCAATAAGTACAATGCTCAAACTAGCATATGGAAACACCATACTAGTCTGAAAATTATTTCAGCAAGAAATAAATTAACAATCCTGAACTTCCTCATTCTAGGAGTGTTAAGCAAATGCAGAATATCACATAGATAAAAACTCTCAGTAATGTTGTTGGTTTAATGTTGGTTTGTTGGTAATAAAGTTGGTTTTTAAAAAGGAAAGCCTTGTTGCACATTTCCCATAAATATATGGGTGTCTTCGAATCGTAAAGGTTTCGAATCGTAAATCGTTAATCTTCGACAGTAAATTGCGGTTCCCAGCCGATCACCGAAGTCAAGCATCACTGGCTGCGGTCAGTGTGTGGGTGGGTGACCACTTGGATCACTCTGCGAAGGCTCCGAGGGTGTGCGATATCGGTCCTCGTTAAATTGTTCTACCGTAAAGTGCTCCACTTTGCGTGCAGATAGTCGGTCTACTAAAGCAGGGGAGCCATCCTCCCTGTAGAGGATCAAAATTGTGATGGAATGTCTGCGGATCATCCTCAGGGCTGTTTCCCAGACCGTCGCCAATAGCCCATTGCGCAGCTCTAGTGCGACGTAAATAAAGTACCTACCAACCTCGAATCGTAATTTTTTTTAAAATTCTTCTCCGCTGATTTATCCTCAAATCAGGGTTCAGAATTCTGGTCACCTTACTGAATTAGTATTTCAGATTTTTAAACAATTCTGAGTTCAAACAGTATTAAAAAAAGTATTTTACGAAAAAAAAGAGCTTGAAAGTACTTTGATCAAATCTATTTATTTAATCTCATTCTTTGAATCTGACATTTTTTTATTCATGATTCTTCGTTTCGATTCATATTCGATAGCTCTTCATATTCGATTTTAGATAATCGATAGCTCTTCATATTCGACTCTGTAATTTCTTTTCTTTCTAAAAACACACTACAGATTTGAGTGGGGTAATTTAGTCAAAGTAAGAGATCGCAAAATACAGGCATCATTATCATAGTAAGAAAAAGGTTTCAAGCAAATAATCATGTGATTTGCTATTTTATTTTTTTGCTAATAGGTTGTAAGAAACTAAAAGTAGTAAAAAAATATTTTCGACGATGCACATATTTCTAACAATCTACTTTTAAGGAGTGGCGTAGAAAGGTAATAGACATGAATCGATTGAGAAAAAACAAGGGATAAAAATGTTTAATATGAAAATTCCAGAAATAGAATCGGAATATTCATTTTCTATGTTCAATCGAAACACATTCACTTTCTCTACAATGTATATAATTTCATATTTTACATGCGTTTTAAGAGTGCTAGAGAAAAAAGATATTGAAGAAAGCATCCAGGACTAAACGAATATATATATAAAATAAATAAATACAAGAAAACACGGAGAAAGTTAAGAAAAACAATAAGTTTCATTTATTGTGCATAAGCTGCAAGTAAACAGAACTCATCAGATAAGTTTAAAATGAAGATAAAACAAAGGGAAATTATAGACATGTGCAAAATGGCGAAATTATAATGGAAAGTTTTATAAAATAATA